TTTATGTTCCTAAGATATATTTACTAGGATAAGTGTCTTGTTGTCGGATGTTACAGCAGTTTTTGTGGAAGTGTGGGAGTTCCAGCTAAATTAAGTACATTAGAGTCGGGCTAGTGTTGATATCTCTAGGGGCGTCGATATTTCATTGTGGAGATGTTTTTTTTGTGACAAGTTGAAAGTAGTGACGACCTTATTCTCTCTTCCCAACTTTATTCTGGTCCTGTTTTATGTTCCACCAAGTTAGATCCAGTATTATTTATTAAAATGGTAGAGTTGTTGCCAAGAGGAGAGCATTATGACTGGACTGTGTGAACCCTATACAAATTGCAGGGTTACACAACATTATTAGAAGGCAGAGACTGTCGCCTTTACATTCATTCCCAAGGTTGGAGCCAGTGGAGAGGCGCGCACATACAGAAAAGGGAGACGGCTGCCTTGTATCACACTCATGGGAGCTCCTCACCACCACCACCACGACCAGCCCTCTACCTGGATGTGACTGCTCCACCACCACCACCACCCCGGGGGACCCCCAAGATGCAGCCCTCTCGGTTGGTCAACATCGGTCTACCCAATGGACCCCAGGACAGACTGACCCCAGTGAACCACAGGTCGTTCTGCAGACGACCCAAGACGACCCAGTAAAGATGGGCGAGGAACAACAATGACTCCAGTTTGTCCCACCAACATTGGTCTACCCAGAACGGACGGACCCCAATGGACCCCAGGTCGCTTGTCAAAGACCCATGGGGGGAAAGAAGAAAGAAGAAAAGAAGAGAGAAGAAAGAAGAAAGAAGAGGAGGAGAAGTTAAGGCTAAGCTAAGACACGATGCCTAGTGTCCCTTGCTGGGGTCAGCATCATTGCATGGAGCGTAATTGCAAGACAGGATCGTTTGCCTTAACTGGCCACCGCTCCTGCAAGCATGTTGCTCTGTCTCTGTTGAGTGATTTTCCCTGTGTCGTGCGGACTTAATGTGGCTGTCAGAAGTAGCTTTCTGAAGGAGGTGTGCTAGAGCAACAGGGAGGACAGAAGTAGGATGGGATTTCTACGGTGTCAACTATATGGAGGTTTCAAAACTTGTAGTACCAATAGCTGTGACGAACCCCAATGTACGTCTCTCATAGTGACTGACGTAGGGCCAATTACAGATCAGCTGAGACACCCGAATTCCCGATCCTGTGTGCAGGACAAGAAGTAACGGCTTCCTGGTTGGCCGCGGCGTTTCGGTACGTTAACGACGGAGAAGCGACGGAGGCAGTTGTGTTCAGGGACGTGTCACAGGATTATCTACAAGACAAAGCAGTGATGTTGTCCAGCCAGAGACACCGAATGTCGGTCTAAATATTAAATTTTTTAGAGTAGGATGATGTATATTTGTTTTGATAGGAAGTATTTTTTTTTAAGTTAATAAAGCTGTTGCACACAGCTAGTTTGCTTTAGCAGTGCTGCAAAAACTTTATTTTAGGGGAGAAGTGGAGAAGTAACACCGTAAAGGTGTTTTGTTTAGTTTTGGGTTTAATATATACATAGAGATACATGAGTCACATACAAGGTTTTGAGAGGCGCCAGTCTGTCGGCCTAAAAGCACCTCTAGGGTGTTAATGACCACCAAGTGACCAAGGTCAGGTCGGTTGAAGTTGACCTGGTTTCTGCTAAGCTTATAATTGTAGCAGGGTAGCCGGGTGGGTCCTTCAAACAAACCGCCAGTTTAATGTGTGGCTTTGTTGAGTGCCTGGGGCTATCTACTTGTGGGCGGAGTTAGCTTGTTGGTCCCCAATAAATAGTCAGGGAGCTGTAGATTCGAGAGCAAAAAGAGGACAGAGACAGCAGAGCAGGGCAAAAGACAGCAGCCGGGTTAGGCTGTCGGCTGGATGGGGGATGGCTGCCTGTCAACTAGAGACCATCACCCCCCCCCCCCTCCCATCTATTCAGCTTAGGCTCAGCCCTCGGTTTGTGAACATTAAGGTAATTTGGTCGTGTTTACTAGTATTGTGTAACTATGAAGGGCAGACGGCTGTAGTGGTCTCGAATTCTTGTGTAATGATTCACTTTGGATATTAAGAGTGAACCTTCAGTTTGATTGCTTGAATTATGATATCTATCCTGATTAATATACCTGATGAATTTATTGAGTAAAGTATACTTGATTCACTTTACTTGTAATCTGATTTTAATTGTTCCTAGATCTGGGATTTTCGGATACAATATGCAAACTAGAGTGTAGAGTACTGTTGAGACTATTGACTTAAAGAATCTTGCATGGAAAATGATTCCAGTTGACACATGCTAATAATACCTTTGCTAATATTATGTAATAAACTAGAATAAATTGTGGCAGCTATTGCAACTTCCACTTTCTACTTCTACTTATCTACTCTTTTACCTCTACGTCTTCCACTACTTCCTACTCACTCCCCACTCCCTCTCCTCTCCCTCCGCCTCTCTCCCACTTTCTCTTTCACCTGACAACCCTCCTTACTCCTCCCTCCTCTCTACCTCCCTCACCCCAATCCCCTCACTAATTACTTCATTATTCATCTCTTTCCTTTTTGTTTCTTTATGCATTCGTGGCAGGGAAGTATTTTAGAGTTCTCTAGAGTTTGGGGGTAGTTGACCAAGTTACAATGTCTTGTGGTCGTGATACTTAGGTCACACGGTGTTGAACTGGAGAGGTTGCAGTAAGAACTTTGGCGGAACTCTAAAATAGTTAACTTGGTGGCGGGATAATGGACAAAAGAAAGCTATTTCCCTCACCCCCCATTGCATCTCTGGTCTGTTATATCTCTGGTCTGTTATATATCAGGGTTGATCAACATAGAAGCGTACCGCTCTTCCTGAGATCCTTAAAAAACAGCAATGTTTCTCTGTCATTGTGTCCTGCACCTTATATTAACTCTTTATGTAAATCGGAGACTTTTTACACGCTGGTAAATGTAAGATAATACAGAAATGTTAATAATACAGTCAAATTGACGTCATTCGGTCACAAGAAAATAGAGTATTATTACTTAAGTAGTAAAAATGGAGATTTGAACTTAAATACTAAATAGAATACTATTGATTTACTTGTAAATTTATTATAGCTTAACTACTAAATACGAGATTTTTCTTTATTAGTAAAGAGAAGGTAACTGTGAGGAGTTTCATTAGTAAACATCACAGAGCTCATCCCGTGCTAAGATTTCATCTGATATCCGTAAGTATACATGTGTTCCCTATGGGTTTTGTCTAGGCTTTTGTACTGGCTGACACCATCTCCCGTTTTGTTCTTCACGATGAACAACATGTTTTCATTGACACGTGTGTTGCTGACCTGTGATGCTGACACCTGTGTTGATGACCTGTGATGCGGACACCTGTGTTGATGACCTGTGATGTGGACACCTGTGTTGATGACCTGTGATGCGGACACCTGTGTTGATGACCTGTGATGCGGACACCTGTGTTGATGACCTGTGATGCGGACACCTGTGTTGATGACCTGTGATGCGGACACCTGTGTTGATGACCTGTGATGCTGACACCTGTGTTGATGACCTGTGATGCGGACACCTGTGTTGATGACCTGTGATGTGGACACCTGTGTTGATGACCTGTGATGCGGACACCTGTGTTGATGACCTGTGATGCGGACACCTGTGTTGATGACCTGTGATGCGGACACCTGTGTTGATGACCTGTGATGCGGACACCTGTGTTGATGACCTGTGATGCGGACACCTGTGTTGATGACCTGTGATGCGGACACATGTGTTGAGGACCTGTGTTCATGGCCTGTGTTGATGACCTGTGGTGTTGACACCTGTGTTGATGGCCTGTGATGTTGTCACGTGTATTCAAGTTCAAGTTCATGTATGTTTATTGAGATAAGCAATAAATACATCTCAAAGGGATAGAGTAGCTTAGGCTATTTCTACCCCCTAACACCTCTATTGATGACCTGTTGTGCTGACACCTGTGTTGATGACCTGTGTTGCTCATACTTGTGTTGATGCCCTGTGATACTGACACCTGTGTTGATAACCTGTGATGCTGACACCTGTGTTGATGGCCTTTGCTGCTGGCACCTGTGTTGATGAGCAGTGGTGCTGACACCTGTGTTGATGGCCTTTGGTGCTGACATCTGTGTTGATGAGCTGTGGTGCTGACACCTGTGTTGATGACCTGTGGTGCTGACACCTGTGTAGATGACCTGTGGTGCTGACACCTGTGTAGATGACCTGTGGTGCTCACACCTGTGTAGATGACCTGTGGTGCTGACACCTGTGTTGATGGCCTTTTGTGCTGACACCTGTATTGATGAGCTGTCGTGCTGACACCTGGGTTGAAGACCTGTGGTGCTGACACCTGTGTTGATGACCTGTGGTGCTGACACCTGTGTTGATGACCTGCGGTGCTGACACCTTTGTTGACGACCTGTGGTGCTGACACCTGTGTTGATGACCTGTGGTGCTGACACCTGTGTTGATGGATTTTGGTGCTGACACCTGTGTTGATGCCCTGTGGTGCTGACACCTTTGTTGACGACCTGTGGTGCTGACACCTGTGTAGATGACCTGTCGTGCTGACACCTGTGTTGATGGCCTTTTGTGCTGACACCTGTATTGATGACCTGTCGTGCTGACACCTGTGTTGATGGCCTTTTGTGCTGACACCTGTATTGATGACCTGTCGTGCTGACACCTGGGTTGAAGACCTGTGGTGCTGACACCTGTGTTGATGACCTGTGGTGCTGACATCTGTGTTGATGGCTTTTGGTGCTGACACCTGTGTTGATGACCTGTCGTGTTGACACCTGTGGTGCTGACACCTGTGTTGAAGGCCTGTGGTGCTGACACATGTGTTGATGGCCTGTGGTGCTGACACCTGTGTTGATGACCTGTGGCGCTAATACCTGTGTTGATGACCTGTGGTGCTAACACCTGTATTGAAGGCCTTTGGTGCTGACACCTGTGTTGATGGCCTGTGGTACTGACACCTGTGTTGATGACCTGTGGTACTAACACCTGTGTTGAAGGCCTATGGTGCTGACACCTGTGTTGAAGGTCTGTGGTACTGACACCTGTGATGCTGACACCTGTGTTGATGACCTGTGTACTGACACCTGCGTTGATGACCTGTGGTGCTGACACCTGTGTTGATGTCCTGTATTGCTGACACCAGTGTTGATAGCCTTTGGTGCTGACACCTGTGTTGATGACCTGTGTTCTTGACACTTGTGTTGATGGCCTGTGATGCTGACACCTGTGTTGATGACCTGTGGTGCTGACACCTGTGTTGATGGCCTTTGGTACTGACACCTGTGTTGATGAGTTGTGGTGCTGACACCTGTGTTGACGACCTGTGATGCTGACACCTGTGTTGATGATCTGTGGTGCTGACACCTGTGTTGATGACCTTTGGTGCTGACACCTGTGTTGAGGAGCTGTGGTGCTGACACCTGTGTTGAAGGCCTGTGGTACTGACACCTGTGTTGATGACCTGTGGTGCTCATACTTGTGTTGATGCCCTGTGATACTGACACCTGTGTTGATGACCTGTGATGCTGACACCTGTGTTGATGGCCTTTGGTGCTGACACCTGTGTTGATGAGCTGTGGTGCTGACACCTGTGTTGATGACCTGTGTTCTTGACACTTGTGTTGATGGCCTGTGATGCTGACACCTGTGTTGATGACCTGTGGTGCTGACACCTGTGTTGATGGCCTTTGGTACTGACACCTGTGTTGATGAGTTGTGGTGCTGACACCTGTGTTGACGACCTGTGATGCTGACACCTGTGTTGATGATCTGTGGTGCTGACACCTGTGTTGATGACCTTTGGTGCTGACACCTGTGTTGAGGAGCTGTGGTGCTGACACCTGTGTTGAAGGCCTGTGGTACTGACACCTGTGTTGATGACCTGTGGTGCTCATACTTGTGTTGATGCCCTGTGATACTGACACCTGTGTTGATGACCTGTGATGCTGACACCTGTGTTGATGGCCTTTGGTGCTGACACCTGTGTTGATGACCTGTGGTGCTGACACCTGTGTTGATGACCTGTGGTGCTGACACCTGTGTTGATGACCTGTGGTGCTGACACCTGTGTTGATGGCCTTTGGTGCTGACATCTGTGTTGATGAGCTGTGATGCTGACACCTGTGTTGATGACCTGTCGTGCTGACACCTGTGTAGATGACCTGTGATGCTGACACCTGTGTTGATGACCTGTCGTGCTGACACCTGTGTAGATGACCTGTGGTGCTGACACCTTTGTTGACGACCTGTGGTGCTGACACCTGTGTTGATGACCTGTGGTGCTGACACCTGTGTTGATGGATTTTGGTGCTGACACCTGTGTTGATGACCTCTGGTGCTGACGCCTTTGTTGACGACCTGTGGTGCTGACACCTGTGGTGCTGACACCTGTGTTGATGAGCTGTCGTGCTGACACCTTTGTTGATGGCTTTTTGTGCTGACACCTGTATTGATGAGCTGTAGTGCTGACACCTGGGTTGAAGACCTGTGGTGCTGACACCTGTGTTGATGACCTGTGGTGCTGACATCTGTGTTGATGGCTTTTTGGTGCTGACACCTTTGTTGACGACCTGTCGTGTTGACACCTGTGGTGCTGACACCTGTGTTGATGACCTCTGGTGCTGACGCCTTTGTTGACGACCTGTGGTGCTGACACCTGTGGTGCTGACACCTGTATAGATGACCTGTGGTGCTGACACCTGTGTTGAGGAGCTGTGGTGCTGACACCTGTGTTGAAGGCCTGTGGTACTGACACCTGTGTTGATGACCTGTGGTGCTAACACCTGTGTTGAAGGCCTATGGTGCTGACACCAGTGTTGCTGACACCTGTGTTGAAGGCTTGTGGTACTAACACCTGTGTTGATGACCTGTGGTGCTGACACCTGCGTTGATGACCTGTGGTGCTGACACCTGTGTTGATGTGCTGTGGTGCTGACACCTGTGTTGATGGCATGTGATGCTGACACCTGTGTTGCTGTCCTGGGATGCTGACACTTGTGATGCTAACACCTGTGTTGCTGGCCTGTGGTGCTGGCACCTGTGTTGATGACCTTTGGTGCTGACACCAGTGTACTAATTTAGGTGTAATTACCTAGTTATGCTTGTGGGGGTTGAGCTTTGGCTCTTTACTTCCGCCTCAAAACCGTCAATCAGCTGGTGCACAACATACTGAGCCTACTGGGCTCTATCATACATACATTTGAAACTGTGTATAGAGTCTGCCTCCACCACATCACTGCCTAATGCATTCCATTTAATAACTACTCTGACACTGATCAAATTACTTGTAATGGCTCTGTGGCACATTTGGGTACTCAGTTTCCACCTGTGTCCCCTTATTAGCGTCCCACCCGTGATGGTACGTGATGTATGGATGACTCATGTATTGATACATGTGTGGATGACACATGGTATTGATACATGTGTGGATGACACATGGTATTGATACATGTGTGGATGACACATGGTATTGATACATGTGTGGATGACACATGGTATTGATACATGTGTGGATGACACATGGTATTGATACATGTGTACTCACCTAATTGTACTCACCTGATTGTGCTAGCGTGGGTTGAGCTCTGGCTCTTTGGTCCCGCCTTTCAACTATCAATCAACAGGTGTACAGATTCCTGAGCCTACTGGGCTCTATCATACCTACATATGAAACTGTGTATGGAGCCAGCCTACACCACATCACTTCCTAATGAATTCCATTTGTTAACTACTCTGACACTGAAAAAGTTCTTTCTAACATCCCTGTGGCTCATTTGGGTACTCAGTTTCCAACTGTGTCCCCTTGTTTGAGAATCACCCGTGTTAAACAGTTTATCTTTATCTACCCTGTTAGTTCCTCTGAGAATTTTGTAGGTAGTGATCATGTGTGGATGACACATGGTGTTGACACCTTTGTGATTGAACTGCGATATTAAAATGTGATATTTCAATCATCACAAAAATATCAGTAAGACATTTGTACAATTGCCACATTGGTTCCTAGCACACCAGCCTGCAACTGGCTCCTAGCACACAAGCCTGCAACTGGCTCCTAGCACACCAGCCTGCAACTGGCTCCTAGCACACCAGCCTGCAACTGGCTCCTAGCACACCAGCCTGCAACTGGCTCCTAGCACACCGGCCGGCAACTGGCTCCTAGCACATCGGCCGGCAATTGACTCCTAGCACACCCACCCCCAACTGGCTCCTAGCACATCAGGCTACAACTGGCTCCTGACACACCGGCCGCCAACTGGCTCATAGCACACCAGCCTGCAACTGGCTCCTAGCACACCGGCCGGCAGCTGGCTCCTAGCACACCGGCTGGCAACTGGCTCCTAGCACACCAGCCTGCAACTGGCTCCTAGCACACCAGCCGCAACTGGCTCCTAGCACACCCACCCCAACTGGCTCCTAGCACACCGACCTCCAACTGGCTCCTAGCACACCGGCCGGCAACTGGCTCCTAGCACACCGGCCGGCAACTGGCTCCTAGCACACCGGCCGCAACTGGCTCCTAGCACACCTGCCGGCAACTGGCTCCTAGCACACCGGCAACTGGCTCCTAGCACACCGGCCGGCAACTGGCTCCTAGCACACCGGCCGGCAACTGGCTCCTAGCACACCTTCCGGCAACTGGCTCCTAGCAAACCAGCTGGCAACTGGCTCCTAGCACACTGGCCGGCAATTGGCTCCTAGCACACCTGCCGGCAACTGGCTCCTAGCACACCGGCCGGCAACTGGCTCCTAGCACACCGGCCGGCAATTGGCTCCTAGCACACCGGCCGGCAACTGGCTCCTAGCACACCGGCCGGCAACTTACTCCGTGCACTTCGGCCGGCAACTGGCTCCTAGCACACCGGCTGGCAATTGGCTCCTAGCACAACGCCCTCCAACTGGCTCCTAGCCCACCGGCCGCCAACTGGCTCCTAGCACACCGGCCGGCAACTGGCTCCTAGCACACCGGCCGGCAACTGGCTCCTAGCACACCGGCCAGTAATTGGCTCCTAGCACATTGGCCGGCAACTGGCTCCTAGCACACCGGCCGCCAACTGGCTCCTAGCACACCGGCCGGCAACTGGCTCCTAGCACACCGGCCGGCAACTGGCTCCTAGCACACCGGCCGGCAACTGGCTCCTAGCACACCGGCTGGCAACTGGCTCCTAGCACACCGGCCGACCGGCAACTGGCTCCTAGCACACCGGCCGCCAACTGGCTCCTAGCACACCGGCCGGCAACTGGCTCCTAGCACACCGGCCGGCAACTGGCTCCTAGCACACCGGCTGGCAACTGGCTCCTAGCACACCGGCCGACAACTTACTCCGTGCCCTTCGGCCGCCAACTGGCTCCTAGCACACCGCCCTCCAACTGGCTCCTAGCCCACCGGCCGCCAACTGGCTCTTAGCACACCGGCCAGTAATTGGCTCCTAGCACATTGGCCGGCAACTGGCTCCTAGCACACCGGCCGCCAACTGGCTCCTAACACACCGACCGGCAACTGGCTCCTAGCACACCGGCCGGCAACTGGCTCCTAGCACACTGACACGAAAACCACTATTTTTCAGAGAAAAAACTTGCTAGTTGATAATTGAACCAGAGCAAAGAAACACATGATCTAAGCACTCATCTGATTAGGGTGAAGACTAGAGTGAAAAGTCAGTAAAGAAATCAAAACTATGTATCAAGCTTCACATAACGTATCCACAGCTCGTTATAGCTCAGTAAAGCCGTCCACACTCAGCATAAAATTTAAATAGGAATCTTACTCTTGAGTAGGTGATGGGAGAAGGGTCCAGCGAGATGGTGTTGACGGTGTGCAGCGAGGCGGAGGAGTGACAACACGCTGTGTGTGGTGAGGCTTTATACTGGCCAGCGTCACTCAGCACAGCAGCGCCCACCCCGTAAAAAGTGAGCACAGCAGCGCCCACCCCGCAAAAAGTGAGCACAGCGGCGCCCAACCCGCACTCAGTGAGCACAATAAGCCCCCAAGTTACGGTTTAGGATAAGAAAAATTGGGTAATGGTAATTGTATAGTTTTAGTGATTCATAACCCATTCTGACTAAGGTTAGATTAAGGATGGTTAAGTTCAACTTATGTAGAGAAAATTCCCATTATTAACATATTTTCTATTAACCCTAGGTAATAGAGGTTAGGTTGGGGATGGTTGTATTGATATGAAAAACAAAAAAACATGGCTAAGAATATGATGCAATATTGAACCAAGATCCATGCATCAAAGGTTAGGTCTAGGACGGTTGGGTTGATGCACAAACAACACTTTTTCCCCATAAAAATGATAAATTTGAATTTAGATAAAGGGAGGTTAGGTCCAGGACGGTTGGGTTGATGTGTAAAAACAAAACACTTACTTAACAATATAGCTGCAATATTGAACATAAATCCAAGTTTAATAGGCGAGGAGTAGTTAAGTTCAAATCCAAAACATCAACTTTCTAGGAATATGGTAACAATGTTCAACAAAGATCCAAGCAGGTTAGGCCCTGTGTGGTTAGGTTCATATCCAAAAATTTAACTTTTTCAAGAATATAGATACAATATTCAACAAAGCTCCAAGACCTCTGCAGGTTAGGCGCGGGGCAGTTAGGTTCATATCCTAAAAACATCACTTTTCTGAGTATATGTTGTATCAGAGTTTAGGTCCGAGGTGGTTGATTTGTGCTAATTTTGGTTGGAATGGGCGAAAAACTTGGCTAAAATGGACATTTGCTGTGCTATGTTACAAAACATTTGGGTATATTTGGTGGAAAATGGCGTAAATTAGGCTGAATATAGGTTGGACAGCATAAATTTCACCAACTTTTAATCAAATCTAGCTTTGTATATGTTAGGATAGGGTTGTGGAGGGTTGGTTGGAATAGATTAAAACTCTGCAAAAATGGGCTTTGGTAGTGCTATGATACAAAACATTTGGGTATATTTGGTGGAAATTGGCTTAAATTAGGTGGGATGGCTTAAATTTAACCAACTTTAATCAAATCTAGCTTTGGATATGTTAGGTCTGGTTAGGTTAGGTTAGGTTTTCTAGGGCAGGTTGGAATAGGTGAAAACCTGGCTAAAATGGGCTTTGGCTGTGCTATGTTATAAAACATTTTTGGGTATATTTGTCGAAATTGTCTTAAATTAGGTTACATTTAGATGGGATAGTACAAATTTTGCCAACTTTATTCAAATCTAGCTTTGGATATGCTAGGCTAGGTTAGGTGAGGTTGTGTAGGGTAGGATATATAATATCTCAGGGGTAGTGAACTAACATATTCATTTTTTTCTAAATTTACCTATTTTGGGGTTCTAGCTTTGGCTAACTCATGTATTGACAGAGGTGACATAGGCTTGTATGTGAGGATATGGGAGGCTCATATTGAGTTAGTTTAGCTTTTGCTAGGTTGAATTTGGTTAAATTTCTATAGTATAAGTATAATTTTGTATAGATTTTTATAGAATGTTGGTTCTAACTTGTTGCATTTTTGTTAGGATATAGTAAATTTGCTTAAAATTATCATAGAATTT